AAAAAAAAAAAAAAGAGTTTGCCTGGCATTTATAAATTTTGTTAGTAAGTATCTTGGTATTTTCTTGCCCTTGATAAGTCTGAAAAATTATAAGCATTTGATGCCATGGGACAGTATTTCTTTCCACTACAAAGATATGCCTTCCATTTCCCTTTTAATGTGCAGAAAGATGACCAAACTGTGAACTAAATGCACGGCAACCTACATATTCCTCTGCAATAGTTCAATTTTTTTTTTTTACTTGATTAAACATATATGTGAAGAAGGAACAAGAATACCTTTTAAATGCTTGTAATATGTCTGCCATCATGGGGCGACTCATGAAGTTATACTCAAAACAACCAATAATGACATTCTCAACAGCAGGTGGGAGCCCACTGGGAATATGTGGTTTTTCTTTCTTCTTTACGACCAATTTGTATATATCATCAATAGATTTACCACTCCAAGGCTGAATGCCAGTCAACATCTCGACTATGCTGCAACCAAACCCCCATGAATCAGTCTCGAAGGATAGAGGACCAGTAACTTCGGGTTGCCATTGTTCTGGAGCCATGTAGTTGGGAGTACCAAGTCTCCGAATCATATCCATACTTGGCAGAGAAACACCAAGTAACACATAAGGAATTCCTATGTCTCCAAGAATCGGCCGGTCGTTTTCATTCAAAAGGACATTGAAAGGTTTAAGATTGAGAATAAGAATCTCCTTGGAGTGCAGGTTCATTACTCCTTGAGCCAGATCTGCTCCATACCTGTGGAGATAACAACAACATGAAGATTGAGAATGCTTTATGCAATAAAAACATTTTAACTAGAGACAAGTATTCATCGACGTGTTTCTCAGATACATTAAGCAAAAATCACCTCAAAACATCACTCAACGAGAGCTTCCCCCCTTTAAGGCGAGCCATTTTGTCCCCTACTGAGCCCTCATAAAATTTCATAACAATGCATATCTAGAAGGAAATATAGAGTATTCAGAAGAAGGGTTGGCAGAATTTGCTTATTTATTTTTCCTTTCTTTTAAATATCAGTGGAAAGAAATCCAGATTCTCAGCATTGTAAAAAAAATTCGAACATACTCACTTTCTTACTTATAACGGAAAGACCATGCAGCCAGCAGACATTTTCTAAACCCCGACATTTAGAAAGTAAATCCTCCAACTTTACCAAGACATCTTTAACGTCATCTTCTTTAATGGAATGCAACATTTTAACAGCCACTTCATGATACTCTTCATAGTCTTCCATTGCACGGTGATGTGTTGCCAGCCAAACATCACCAAATGGCCCTCTTCCAATCCTGTGCTTGAGTTTAATTGTTGCTGGGTCGATCCAAGTATGGATCTGGTTAGAAGACGTTACAGCAGTGCCACCACTGTCACCGGAGTCTCTTTCAACAAGTTCAAAGTCAGATATAGACATTGGTCTATTGACAACAACTTGTCCAGCCATTTATCCTAAAGTTTCCACAGCATAATCATTAAGGAATATTGCTCCCCAAGTCATAAAAAATATGGAATACCACAGAACGAGATAGAAAAGAAAATGCAACTTCGAAGAGTTTAACTGCGTACGCAGCATGAGAATGAATATATGAAAGCATTATTAAAAAAAATTACCATGTTAAATCAATAATTGCAAAATTCGACAATTACTAGTATCACCGGACAAAAATTCAGATCCAAGTATATTCAATAGGTATGATCTGTCCTAATGATGCTGCAATAAACGAAAAAACAGATACTTCACTTACGATGCATTAAAATAAGAGATATATGTGAAAACCAAGTTTTTGAATATATAACAATCAAAAGAAAAATTCTAATTAAATCAATTCGCCTTCTGACACATTCACAAATACATAATGACTCACTGAATTTCCAAAATTGAAATTTCTACCAATTCAATCAAAGGAAACATGAAAATCCAATTCCAAGATGAGTTTTTTTTTTTTGTTCCCTGATCACAAAATCAAACTTTATGTAGAAATAAATTAAACAAAAAAGAATAAAATCACTTGATTTCAATCACCATTTAAATGAAAAAAACAGCACAGCACAGGAATCAAAAAGCACAAGAAATAATCAGACATTAAAGCAAATACAATTATGATACTTACTGATAGTATGGTATGGAGAGAACTGAAATTGTAATCAAACTGCAAAAAACTGAATTGAGAAAAAAAAATCTATAAATTAAGTGATGAGAAAAGAACTGTACATAATCAACCAATTTTTATGCTTTTTATGGTCTCAAAAAATGAAGAACTAATTTGTCACAACAAAATTAAAGATTGAAAACGAAGTGATAGAGAGAGAGAGAGAGAGAGAGAGAAAGAGAGAGAGTAAACAATAAAAATCAGTGAGGAGTCATCTCAACTTGTGGTACGCCAACGTACGCTATGTTCTTTTCCATCTGGAAGAATTATTCAGCAATAAGGAAAATTGCAAAAGTGGTCCTTCAACCGATCATTATTGAGATTTTGCTACTTGCACTTAAAAAAAAAGGGTTGTGCTACTTGTGCATTATGTCATCCACAATGTACAAGTGTCAGTACATTATTGGAGGGTGTGCTGGCCCACCGGCGCACCCTCCAATAGGATAATTCCACTTGTACATTATGTCATCCATTATGGATGGCATAATGTACAAGTAGGATTATTCTAAAAGCAATAGCATAGTGAAAAGGAAAATACACAATGTACAAGTGTCAGTACATTATTGGAGGGTGTGCTGGCCCACCGGCACACCCTCCAATAGGATAATTTCACTTGTACATTATGTCATCCATTATGGATGCCATAATGTACAAGTAGAATTATCTTAAAAAAAATATACATAATGAATTACATTATATGATGTGGAGGGAAAAGATTTAATGAAAATATTGATTGTGTTTTAAAAATTGATAAATAATAGAGTGTGATGTGACATTATATTTGTACAATTCATCGCTAACGATGGAGACCATTCGAACATCTATGATGTTTTATCGTGTAATCTTTTCACGTTTAAATTTAGAGCATTTTCAATAAACTATTTGTAAAGAGCTCTCACGTGAGCATTTTTAGAAATTTCTTTAAACACGAAATGCTATCTATTAATTTATAGTTATTACATTTAATAAGCTACATATTTGAATGTTCTACTTTTTAAATTATTCAAATCACAATTGAATTGATTTGTCATTGACATATAAAAAATATGTTAAATAAAAGATAAGATAAATACAAAACATATTTATTGAAAAAATTAAAATAAAGAATCAAAATAGAGAACATTTTTAAATAGTATAAACAATATTATTCCTTAAGTTTAAAGTTGCCCCTTGTAAGAACATATTTAAATGACTCTTTATTCATAAAGAATATCTTATACATAATAGAATACATATTTACATTTAGAGTGTAAATTTTTTTTATACTCCAACAATGTTCCCTAGTTTAGTTTTTATTTTATTTTTCTCTAAAAAAGTATTGATTTCTCCTCATATTTTATTTAATATTTTTAAAAAATGTTAATGACTAATCAATTTATTATTTTTCTTAAGTGCTAACGATCAATTAATTCAAATATGATTTAAATAATTTGAGTTGAATAGTATTGAAATTTGTGATTTAAAATGAAATCGTTATAAAATAAGAATGGAGTAGCATCTTGTGCTCTTATGGAATTAAATTTTACTTTCTACTTAGAGGGTTCAAAACTTCGAGAGACGTTTTGATAAGAGACGTGTAATAATTTAAGGTAGTTAAAACATTTCCAACAGTTTCTTTATGATCAATCAATTCAAACATGATTTGAATAATTAAAGAAGTAGATATTAAAATATGTAACTTTATATTACTATAAGGTACGAATTGAGGGGAGTGAAACCCACTCTTTATATTACTTTATAATTATTTGATTTAATAAGTTACATATTTCAATACTTTACTTTTTAAATTACTCGAATCATATTTGAATTGATTGGTAATTGATTTATAAAAGAAATATGTTAAATAAAAGATAATGAGGTATCAACAAATATTTTTTGAAATAACAAAATCAAAAGTCAAAATAGAGAACATTATTAAAATGTAGTATTTAATTTCTAAATTTGAAGATGCTCTTTTTGGATAGGAAGTTTCTTGGAGATGATTTCAGTATTGAATTTCTAAAGTAGATAGTATCTTTTACTAAGACAGTTTTTTTTTTTTTTTTTCAAATGATTTAAATTTGGAGAGTCATACTCTTTCCTTGTTTGAACCCATTTTGAGAGGAAAAAAAATGCATTTTGAATAGTGACTTTTGGAGAATACGTAGTTAAAAATGAAGAATTTTTTTTCAATTTACATGTAATATTATTTTATTAGAGAATGTGTGATTGAAAATAAATTTAAACAGAATGAATTTTTGATAAAATGAGACTCAAACAAGGGCTCTATATTTTAGGGAGATAATGCTTAATAATACATTTCAAGAGAGACTATATTCTATTTGTTTAGAGTAGAGAGTGAGGATAGCCAAATTCGCACGCTAGTATTTCTTTATAATGATTGTATTTAATAAGTAACATATTTCAATATTTTACTTTTTAAATTATTCAAAACATATTTGGATTAATTGATATTGACTTCGAAAGAAATATATTAAATTAAAAATGATGGCAAATTAATAAATGTATATTAAAAAGGTAAAATGAAGAGTTAAAATAGAAAATATTATTGAAGTATATAAAAAATTTATTTTCTAATTTTAAATGTAAATAGAGAGTATTTTGAAAATGTTCTTAAAGTTAACATTGAAGTATAATATTAGGAATTAACTATCTAAAATAGATAATATCTTACATTTAAAGAGTGACTTGAATATGTTCTCATAATATAAAATAGACTAAAATCAAGAATTAATTTATTAATTTTTAGAAGTGAGTACCAACTCACTAATGAGAAAATAGATTAGAGACCAATCACATAATTTACCCTAATAAAGAAAGTCAATTCTTAGTAATGGACCATTTTATCCTTGCCACAGCAATTACGTAGGGGTGGCAACCGAGTTGAGCGGCTCGGGCTCGTCTAATGGACCATTTTGTCCTTGCCACAACAATTACGTGGAGGTGACAATCGAGTTGAGCGACTCATCAAAAGGAGCCAGGCGTCGCTCGGGCTCGTCAGAGCACGAGCCAAGCAATTGTTTTGACGAGCGGCTCGTAAAAAATATGAGAAAAACCAAAAAAAAAAAAAAAAATTGACGAGCGGCTCGTGAGCTCACGAGCTCGTGGACCGAGCCGAGCACAAGCCCGGCGCGTGCGTGAACGAGCTTGGCTGAGCCAAGCCACTACAATTTCGTCACTTGAGTTGCGAGCTATGCTGTCTCGTCACTTCTCCAATGAAAGACTAAAATTAATGAATTGATAATACAATAACATGCACGCTATTATTTCGTTTGGCAAAGTGTAATAGAGAAATTTGATTAAAATGAAATTATAAATAAAAAAAATTGTCACATTAAAAAAAAGGTCTATTAAAAGTTTCTTCCTGCTTTGTAATGTTACAATACTTTTAATTCACCTGATTTTTCAACTTGATTTCCTAAATGTTTATAGCTGCGCAATTAACCAAATTATTAATGCTTGATGGGATGTGGGTCGAGATCTAATTCCTTTATATTTTTCGAGTATTGTTAGTAAGGTTCAATTAGTGTTACAGATCTTCCCTTCAAAATTAAACCGTACGAGCTAATTTAGTCTTGTTTAGGAAGTTATTCTGTGTAGGCGTGTTCATGTAGTTGACATGATTCCACAAAGATCCATCGTGAATTTATTTTTAAAAATTAGCAACATTTTAAATCATCTACATGTGAATGTGCGAGTTTTAAACACGAATTTATTTTTAATGTATTCTTGAGTTTCGTGGGGATGCCAGGTCAGCAGTTCTAGACACGTGGCTGCGAATCATTAGGCACAGTTGGCAGCTTATTTGACACAACTCAAATGGGTGCATTTAAAGGGCAGTGCTTGAAGTACAGGAGCCTGATTCACAAGCCCCTGCCAAGCCACGCACATTGAAAGAGGAGCCTCTTTTTTCTTTTTTTCTTTTTTATATAGGTGGAGTCGGCTGCACAGTGAGGGGCTGTAAGACACCTGTGAAATGAGCCCCCGTACTCGGGGAATAATCCTTAAAAATTTGACCTCTAAAATAATACTATATGCCATATTGTCCCAACAGATAGTTTTCTTCTATTTTGTATTTTCTGTTTTTCTTCAAATTCAATATTTATTTTCCTTAGTAGAACTTGAAAAAGAAATAATAAATAGTTAAAGGTATATTTCTAGTGAAGTAGTAGTTGATCTGACCTTCGGTTCTCCAATCGACAAACTTATTTAATTTTTACGATTTCATCCATTTATTCTAAAAAATAACCTTAAAATTATAAATGCGTCCTTTGTGAAAGTACAACCTTAAAAAACCCCAAAAAAAAAAAAAAAAAAACAATTAAAAAAAAAAAAAGAAAAAGAACGAGAAAAAAAAAAAAAAAAAGAGTTGTATTCTATGAAATAATTCTTGTTACAGTATGAATTCAGAGGAAAACAATAACAACTCTAATTCACAATACAAAAATTATCTCAAAAAATGGAGCCCCAACAATCTAAAATTTGTATTCTGCATCAGTATCTTAAAATGCAGCCGAGCTTCTCGACTAAGTTAAATACGGGATTTTGAGAAACGTTAAAGTATGGCTTCCCAGAAAATTATCATCTCTTTCAGAACCTGTCATCTTCAATTCGAAAACTGTATAAACAGAACACTGCAAATGATCATATCCGAGAAAAAAGATTACCCAACGAGCAGATTTAGCAGTTACTTTCCAATGAGCTTGTAATAGGCATACAATCCCGATCCAATGAAACCTAGCAGTTGCCCGATGACATTCAACTGCGATCAAAGTTGATTTGACACTAATAAATAAGTTGGGAACAACGAGAAAAACAAATAAGAAAGCATATGTACTGTCAATCGAGGAAGACAATAGAACAGAAACTGAACTCACCAGGTCAAATGGGAGGCCACCGAATATTATCCATCCTAGTGTAATTGTGAAAAGATCCTACATAAGCAGAACGAGAACCAAATATTTGTAACCGAGTGCAACATGCATTGCATATAAGAACGCTGCTTAATGCCACAGAATGTATACAAGCGTAAAACATGACAGTGGATTGAACTTTTATAAAACAAAAACTGAAAGTCAAAATTTCGTCCATTATACCATCCTCTCAGAGTCAGTTAATTTAAATCTGAATGAACACCAAGAAGATTGGAAGCATTATAAATTCCATTTGCAATCAAGAGTTTATGAAAAGATGACATTACAAATGCTAAATCTCGTAAATTAAATGGAAAAGGAGTTTGAGCATTTCTTTTCTTTTCTTTTTCTAAAAATGCTTTTTCCATATATATATATTTTTAAATTTAACATTCTGCACTGTTTCAAAAGTAAATGTGTTGGGCTTATTAATTTGTGTGTTACTTCTCGGGTCCGTATGTACGAGCACGTGCATTCTTTTGAAGAAGGAAAATGAAAATTTAAGTTTCATCGTTGATAAATGATAAATGCACTGTTTAGGGATTTGATTTATCTGTTGATTGCACACTATTATAGCAGGTTTAAATATTTAATGTTTTGAATTGTTGATCAATAATTTTATATGAATTACCTTTTGAATTAGTCTGTGCTTATGTTTAATTTGATGCGTTAATTGTATAAATTGTTTGACTGGAAATTGGCCAAATATAATTTTAATTTACTAATTGTTGCTATTAATTTGTATAAAATTTTATATATTGGAATTCAGATTATTGTTGGCAATCTCATTGAAGATCAATGGATTTACTATAAATTGGTTATGTACATTGAAAAAAATATATTATATATATATATATATATTCAAAGTATGAGAACTCAAAAAAAACATAAGACATTGTAAAATTTTTATTATTATGTTATTGCGTTGTTTTAAAAATAATTAAAATCCACAGTTATAACTCACGCGCATGCTAAAGAACATGTTAATGAACAAACCTTTAAATTACCGCAGATTGTCTGAGTGAGTGCCGAATTCAGGGTTGTGTTGAGGAATATACTGTAATTTAGAAAGAAAGCCAGTATGCAGGAAAGAAGCAATACGATCTGTACATTTGAAAACAGAAACTACGTTAAAACATGTAACATACAAGTCAAAGAATGATGAAAATTTGAATCTGAAAACCCAAGGCACACAAGATAGCCAGTTCAGATATTGACGCGCAAGTCATCAGTAAATCTATAAAATGAACATTTTTACTAGTTTATGGTGATTTTAGACGTTTGACAAAATTGAACCTAATATCTAGGCTGTAAAATACTCACTCACTGGTGATCAGGCACACGATAAGGAGAATTTTTTTGAAATTTGCTTCTTGAAAATAACAAAAGAAACTAAGTTATTACTGTTTTAAATAAACGAAAGCTCTGAAAATAACCCATAATGAGGAATTGGAAGAACATACAACATTATAACATGGTATAACAAACTCGGAGCAAAGCACCAAGTTGTAGCAAAATATTCAAACTGATGGTTCAGTTAGTAGCCGATATTACCAGGAAGCCAGGTGAAAGCAAATATGGGAAATTCATTGTCATCTCCAAGTCGCCACGAAAAAGTGTCCACAGCAGTAGAATGGGTCCACACAAAATTCCTATATTGTGACAATAAAATAACCAAATTTCAACTTCATCTAATTGAATATCAAATACTTTGGGGACTTAAACTACAAGGAAAATGGTTAGTTACCATTGCACCACATGAGGCCAAAGCTATTGAGACCACTGGATTTTCCTGAGTGAAAAAATATTGGCGAGTATAAAAACCAAGCTAATAAACATTGTGAACACAAATGTATTCAGTACCAAAGCGGGATATGGTAGCGAGATATATTGCTGTGGAGATGTTGGACAGGAAGACGACAAGATAACCATAGGAGTCAAATGATAAATCCCGAGCTCCAGCGATGAAAGCACCCAGCACAATCAAAGCCACACTGACAACATCTTAATGATTTTTGTTAAGTACAGGAGTTTAACAAAAAAAAATAAATAAATCAATTCAGGCGCATAAATGCAATTGTATAAAAATCTTCTGATGACAATAGATAATATCAGAAGCCAAAATGGAAAAAGAACATTATGAAAATAAAGCTGCAGATCGTTTGTCAGTCAGTAATTCAATCATCTGCTTCTTTCGCCAAACGTTCACATAAAATTAAGCATTTAATTTGTTTTCTTTACGCAACTTTTGAAGTTTTTATTTGCTATTAGATGTTAGTGGAAGACTTGTCAATCCACTCTGATTTTATGATGGTGTACCGTTAATTTCTGTACATATGATCGCATTCTATCATCCACTATCTATATATAGGTAACATGACTATGCTTGAATGAATTTAAGCCTACTCACATGGTATATAGCAGTTTAAGTAGAGAGCGAGAGAGTACATTTGGAATATGGTAATAACATTTATTTTTTGTAAGGATGATTCAATATTGGCGTGTTTTAAGGAAAAAATTTAAGTTGAAATTTAGTTCATTATACAGTTTAGTCCTATAAAATATTGCTTATGAAACATGACTTAATAGTAAATCACAGGCAGCTATGGAAGTATGCTTGTAATGGTAAAATCTTACCTTCCTAGAATAGGACGTGTATATTTCTGTCTCACAAGGACATATTCCATGATCATTGTAAATACAACGGTTGTTCTCCTAAGGGTTGTGTACATGGGTACATTTACGCCTCGAACAGACTCCATGGTAACTAGCTTTCAAGTGAATTGAAAGAACGTCTTAACAATTATGAATACGGACAAACCACAACAGAATGAGCAAACTAATTAGCAATGAATAAAGAAATACCATGTAAAGCAAATAGGTGAAGGCAAGCGGTGATGTGTCAATCAACGTCTTTAACGGTATCAATGTTTTGGAATTCTCACTGATGACAGGGGATTCATTGCTATTAAAAGAAATAAGCTTCCAGCGTTGCAATATATAAAGCCAACAACATGAACATATCATCTGCCTCAAATACAAAGTGCAAACTAATTAGAACAATGCAACAGGTGAATCCACATGCTGTCTTTAGGCATTGAAAATGGGAGTAATGAATCCGTACTCTGTACTTCAAGATGAGATAAATGAATTAGGCATACATGATGAACAGTATTTGTGTTACGAAGTACAAAGAAGTCAAAGAACAACAAATGATGCACATGCCTTCACTACTGGATCTAGTAGATAGTATATCCTGTATTATTATTGAATTTCTAGCACTACCAGTAAAAAAAATGAAAATCATAAAGAACAACATATTTGGAGTAAACCAAGAGGTTATGAAAGAAGAAAGAAGCATTTTTTCCTCGAAAAAGAAAAACAAAAGAACCCAGCAATGCACTTACTTTAATTGCAAAAACTGCATAACTCAAAAACTAAAAATTCTGCAAATTACGCTGTGTATGGAAAAATTAAGAAGCATTGCTTGCTGTTATATTATTAATTTGATATTTTTGGAAATAAAGGTTGCTGAAAGATCCAACCTATAAAATCCCTACTTTAAAATGATGGATTAATAGCCATAATTGAAAGTCAAAGTTGACATCTGATGCATACAAAATCTGGAGAAGAACTTAATTTATAACCTCATCTTTTTATTTCCTCGGTCAACGTTCTATAATTGCTTTTCACGCATCAAATAAAAAATTTAGTCAGTAAAATTTCTGCGACAAATTGATATTGCATAATAAAAAAGGCAGGTCAAACACGTTTAAGTCAGGCCTGCAACAAGAATTTAATCATACATTCAGCCATTATGTAAATGGGGCTAATAGTTTCTACCTGACACAGGGTGATGACATTAGCACAAGGGAAGTTGTACGAAGAAAGAGCTGCTTTGTTGAATAATACCAAGAGAACTGCAAAATCAGAGTCAAGACATTGCCATAAATGTTGCAATCAGAACAGTAGCAAAAAGCTTTAAAGGACATCACGAGTAACAGGTGGGACAAGGAGCATATTTGGCAAGGCTTAAAAGGTTTACTTTTAAGTAAATAATATTTTATTGGTCAAAATTGGAAATACATTATTTATAATGTAAGGTAAAAGTTACTTAAAAGTAATAGCATGTATGCAAAGGAATCTCTGATATGTACTGAACGAACAGTATTTTACTTAATTCCCAAAAATGGAAAAGTTGATCTCAAAATTCTATGTAGGCCGACAATCAGCTCTTGTAAATTTGTTAAAGAATTGCAAAAAAAATTCTTTTTCCTTCCCAGTGCTCTGGCCTATGTGGTCATCAAGAGTGGACTTACTTATGGCAGGGGAGGCGAAAAGCCATTTAGCATGAGGCAAGGGCACATATAGCTTATGTTTGAGATCTTCCCAAAACTCATTTCAACTACACATTCTCTAAAAAAACACTATTTTCCCCCATTTTTTACCCACGTATTCTCTAAAAAACCACTATTCCAAAATCTGTTTTCACAAGAAAGGGGGGGTGGGGCTCAAACAGATCCATAGTGATATCAGTTTTGACGAATTCAATATGCTAATTAGGAGTTCAGGTAAACCCAAATAACAACAATCTATTAAAACAAAATTACATCAGTAACAGAAAAAAATTTGCATTTTTACTAATTTTCTTCACATCAGGTGTTTCAAACAAGTCTTTGACAACAAAATAATCCTGGTTCCAATTAATTTGGAGTTGGCTAGAAGTCATTTTACTCCCAATCTTTCAGTGTGTTGCTAGGTCTAGATCTAAAACAACTAGATTCTTAGCAATTACAACAACCTTGTTATTAGTCTAAGCCAACCTCTTCTGAATTGTTTTACCGAGATGATGTTGCTTTTATGCATAGGTGCAAAATGGTCCAAACCATCTAAGTGGTCGTTCCATTAATTATAAGGAAACTGAGACACCAACTTCACATAGCTTTTATTTTCTCATAACTGCTTATGGAGCTAAAATTGCAGCAATAATATTGATGAAAGTACAGACATGTGCAGTATGTCTCTGAAAGACTGAAAGTTTGATGAACAGTAAGACTCAAAACCACGTTTCTGACTAGCCTATGCCTAACTATAACAAAACGCAGTTCAAAAAATGCAACTTTATCTAAATCCAATAGGTAGAAATCAATAGCAATTGCCATGGAATTCTAATTATAATTACAAATTATCGTGCTTGTATGCATATTCCCACAATTTCGATTTCCAAAAATTTCCAGGTGAAAAAATAATAGCTAAAAAGAAGAGTAAAACATTGGTAAAGAACAGGCAACTGGATATTACCACGGGATAAAAAAAATAATGATGAATTCCAAGAAAACTGGAAAAACAAGTTTAAAATAACAACAATTCAAATAAGATGAAGAAAAGGCAATAGCTATTTATACACACATTTACACACAAGTTATGCTCGCGAATTCGAAAATTCTGATTAAATAACTCGTACTAACTTTGAAAAAATTAAACCAGCCCAAAAACTTCACTTAAAAAGAAATCATTCTGCACCCAAAATCCACAAAGAAATCAACTTTGAACAGAAATCCAAAAACTGAATTCTGGGTCAACTTCCTAAAGAACTCAAATGAATTAAAAATCGATACATAAAAGGAGAACATGCACGAAAAAAAAACGTCGTACCAGCACATATCATGTAAGAAATGGCAGCATAAGCACCGCGTTTGGTCATGGCGGAGCCTTTGAAAATCTTCTCTTCCATTCTTGGCAGAGGATCGCTTGCTGCCATTGGTAAAATCGAACTGCTCTTCATCGTTGTGTTTGTACCCATCCCACTCTCTCAAAATTGCTGGGTATCTGAATGTTCAAACAGATTTTTTCTCCTTTAAAATCTCTAAAAGAGGAAACAGGGTTGCGGGAAGACGGTAAAGCGTTGACAAGAATTTTTTGTTTTGAGCAATTTTTTTAACCCAGAAAGGGAAATTTAGAGTTAGGCAAGATGAATTTGCTTTGTGAACTCAATTTATTCACCAAAATAATTAAATTTGAGCTGGAATTAGTATGTAATAATAAATGAGACTGGATTTTGATAAATTGGAAGATTTGGTCATTGGTAAATAAAATTATATGAGCTCTTGTTTGAGCCCCATTTTATGGAAAAGTTTACTGTTTTTCAAAGTTCATTTTCAACTATACATTTTTCAATAAAATAATAGTATACGTAAATCGAATTTTTTTTAATTCTTAAACACATTATCCAAAAATCACTATTTAAAAATACATATTTTCTCTCAAAATGGAGCTAAAACAAGAGCCAAGACACATATTTCACTTGATAAAATTTAATAAGATTTAAGAATATTCAATATTTGACGAAATTTTTCTATAGTTGTATCGGATACCAAATATACTAAAAGATCTTAAAATTATTTTGAAGCACCAACTTATTTATGAAAGATAAAAATTAGTTTTAAACCTACGTAGGTAACGTTGATTATTTCTAACTAAACTAGAGTTCCAGCGTCGAAACAATATTTTATTAGTCGGACCAAAACAAATTAGAAATTAATTTAGATTATAAATAAGTTTTGAAATGTTTTATTGCTTACTTGAAAGGAAATAAATATATCTAAGTATTAATCTCATAAAAGAAATAGGTTTACATAATTTTATCTGCAATTCTCCCCTAGAGGCACGAGTGGGGTTAAAGAAAAGTGTTGGTCAAATTTGGTTTATTGCATACACGTTGACTTGAAAGAATACTTGGTCAAAATTGACCCAAAAGTATCATTTTAATGTTAGTGAAATCACATTTTACGTGAAAATGATTTATTTATTTATTTATTTTAGGAGAGAAGAGTTGTGGATACAAGTGATTGAAAATAATTTTAGAAAAATCTACGCCGAATAAGTTGCATTGACAATTAGTTGATTGAACTTACATAAAAGTTCATATTTGGTCATTTAACTTGATTATGTCTTAATTGGATCACTTGGCCCTGTAAGATTAGGCAATTTTTCTATGGAACTGGGAAATGAAATTTCATCTTCCACCAAAAGTCATGTTTGATTGGGGAAATTTTATTGACAATTCATGTTCTATCTTTTGCCTCACACAACTCCAATTCTATGATTTTGAGGAAAATCAATTCCTGCCAATTTTGTGGGTTTTTGTTTTCGAAGGAATTTTTTTTTTGCTATGGAAACAAATTCTATCCATTTGATCGACAATTTCCATATAAAACAAAGCCAAACGAACATCAAAAGATCCAAAATTTTAATTTTTTCAGGTGAAAAATTATATTAATTAAACACAATTAATTGACAATTTTCAGGAAAACAATTTTAGGTAATTCAATTCCCTAAAATTCATTTTCTTTCCACCCAAATTTCACTTTTGTAATCAAATATACCCTTAAAGTTAAATGAAGCTAACATATAGAAACTAATATTCCATGTAATCCTTACGTGGAATTTTATAAATGTTAAACAGTAAATAGAAAATCATGACAATGAGTAAATTAAAATTTAAGGGAGATTTTTTTTTTTTAACACCTTATACCATTGAGGCAGCTGTAACTTATAAGTTGAACTGACACGAAATAATTACGTAGCGGATTCGTTAAATTATGAATATCAAAAAGTAGTTTTAATCGATTTTGGAGAAGGAAGGTGACACATTGATCAAATCTGAGACCAAATTTAATTCCAATGACCTAATTGAAACTCGGTGATGCAACTGAGACATATTAAAGTGTAAGGACAATTACACTTTGAATTAAACTATTTGTACATTATTTTTGTACGTCATTAATGATATTTCATGATGTGTAAAAATCACGATATGTAAGTGTAGCAAAAGTGTTAAAATTTTGCTAGAAGTTCATGATCGCTCATGAGATTTACCATTTTTTGAATTTTAACTTAAGTAATGGTATTTGTACATCATTGCACACTGATAGATTCTCTCTCTCTCTCTCTCTCTCTCTCTCTAACCCCCTCCAACAAACTCTTTATATTTAACACTTAATTTTACTACTCTAAAAAAAATATTTATTATTTTTGTTTATCTTTTATTTTAACTAGCTTTTCTTTAAATTATTTTATTATTTTCCTACATTAAAAATTGAAATATTTTGAATACATTTAATTATAGAGATTGAGTTTGGCTCTCTAAATTTAGAGAGTCAAAACCCATTCTCTAAATTAAAATATTAATTTAAAGAGGTTCTTGTAACATGATTTTAAATGTTGACTCTTTAAAATATAGAGTATCTCATATTTAAAGAATCTCTTGAAGATGCTCTAAGGTCCATATCCTATCTTGAATGTCCAGTTATTTTTGTAAAAAAAAAAAAAAAAAAAA